CCCAACACCCCGCTCCCCTCTGCAGACAAGCGGTTAGGTGTTAGACACATGCTTCTTCCTCACAGTAATCGTAGCAAGTGTTGTATCCCCCAGTTCTTGGTGAGCCACGACCCCAAAACCCAGAGACATCAGGGTTGGCTAGGGAGTGGGCCGGGTATCGCGAGGCATCTGGACCTTTGATCTTGAGCTGTAAGCTCCCACTGCGCAAGGCGGGCACGTATTGGGAGGCAAGGACGCAGGTGGCTGATGGAACCAGCTGTTGATTGTCTTAATTGTTGTAGGATGCCTCCTTTGTACAAGTGTTGTACTCGTTCCATAGGCCTGGATTGCTTAATTCAAAAGCCATTAGGACTTGAGTAGTGAGAGTGGAATTCCTTCAAGGACAAGATGCACTGATTAGTTTTAGTTTTTTTTTTTTCTTTTTTTTCCAGATTTTTATTATTATTTATTCTCATTATTTTTTTTTTAACATTAAATCACTATATATCAGTTGGCTTGTAAAGAGTGTTTACTCAACATGAAATACTTAGACCAGTCTATTTGAGAATACTATCCATGTTATCATTGACAGGTAATAAACCATTTCTGTGTCCCACTAATGTCATGCCTCTCTATTTGTTCTCTTGCTATCCTCGATACTCTTCTCTTCTCCCGCCCTGTTCCACACTGTCTTCAGCATCTATACATATTCTCACTGCTTTTATGCCCTCCAATATTTTAGTCTCTACTGTAAAGTGCAGATAGTTGGTATATACTAAGTGGAGACATACAATATTGTTCTTTCATAGCCTGGCTTACTTCACTCAGCAATAACTCTTCCATATTTGTCCACTTTCTCTCAAATGCCAGGGTCTTTTTTATGGCTGAGTAGTATTCCACAGAGTATATGTGCCACATTTTCTCCATTCAAATGTTTATGAACATTTGAGTTGGTTCCACGTCTTAGCGATCATGAATAATGCTGCAATAAACATTGATGTGCAAGTGCTTTTCTGACTGAGTGTTCTCCTATCCTTTGGGTAGATACACAGAAGTGGGATTGCTGGATCAAATGGTAGTTTCTATTTGTAGATCTTTGAGGAACCTCCATACTGTTCTCCACAGTGGCAGGACCAGCTTACATTCTCACCCACAGTGGAGGAGAGGTCCCCTTTCACCACCTCCCCCGCCAACACTTATCACTTTTCATATTTTTAATCTTCGCCATTCTGACAGGGGTTAGGTGGTGTCTCATTGTGGTTTTAATCTGCATCTCCCTTATGATGAGGGATGTGAGCCATTTCATATGGCTGTTCGTACGTGTATTCTGGTTATTGGCCCCTTGTCTGAGATGTATAGGCTGTTTATTTCGTTTACAATAGAGGTGGTGATTAAGGATAGAAGTGAGTAGAGCAGAGGATGGAAGCCCCAGGGAACAGGGTCTTGTCTCCCCAGGTCCAAGGCTGGCCATTTGGAACCAGTGGGCAGGAAGGGAGGCCCCACCTGCCACCACCTGCCCACGGTGACCAGAGGCTGACATCCACACGGCAGCTCAAAAGCTCACTCTCCTCCCTCTGGGCAGGTCACTGAGCATGGCACCGGGGAGCAGGGGAGCTGAGTGCTGGGTTTGGGTTACGTGAAGAGCTTTCTCTGGGAGAGACCAGGGAGCATGGTGGCATGGTTTGAATGTGTCCCCTCCATAATTCAGGGGTTGAAACTTAATGACCTCATGATGGGTGAGGGGACTTCAGAAACTTTATAAAACAATGGAATTAAAGCATGATGTGGGTGTGGTGGTTGAGACGTGGTTCAAGTCCCAGATCCAGTGGCTTGAAAAACATGCCAGGCATCCACGTGTGTGTGTCCGTGTGCGTGTGTGCGCGCGCCCAAATCCCAAGAGGAGAATGGAGAAGGGATTGCAGTGTGGCCATGCCCCCGTCTCTGGCAAGGCATACACTCTATAGCAAGTTATAAAACAAAAAGGAAAGAAAAAAAGAAACATAGTAAGAAAATGGGCAAGTGAGGCAGGGGGAGAGCAGTGAGTAGAGGATGTGTCACCCCACAGGGATCTCTGGGGACAGGACGAGCTCTGTGAGGACACGTGGAGGGCCCGCCTGCACATGCACGCACATGCACACTCGGACCATGACAGGGCCTGACACTCCACTCGTAACATCGGATTCACGGCATAAATATTTGATTTGCACTTAGTTCGGGGCATTCCTTCATTTACTTTTGTAGAAATCAGGGGCAGAAGAGGGACGGGCCCTGTGGCTAGATAGGAGCTTTCTCTCTGTGATCTATCCAGGCGCTAGGAAGTTCTTGGGGGATGTGCTAAAACCAGAAAGCCCCAGGAGAGGTGCAGGGTGGGAAGCGTGCTAGCGAGAACGCTTTGCACTGCACAAGGGGCAGTGGACAGATGGCTCCGGGATGAGGCCTCCTGCAGGCAGCTCTGAGCTCGGCTGCGTGGCCGGGCTTGCTGGCTCTCTGGCTGGGGCCCACCCCGTCCTGGGTGTGATGAGGCTCAGGATGTGAGCCCAGCTCCTCCTGTCACCCACGAGCTAGCCTCACAGTAAACACCTCTGATTTAGGGGATACGCGAGGTTTGATATTGAAAGAAAGTGAATTGAAATAGAACGTCGGCTTTCACCCAAGTCAGCTGGAGGAAGAACTGAGCCCGCCGCGTTGTACAAAGTGTCTTCCAGGTCACTCGCACACTTGGCTTCCTGAGCACCACCTACTAAGACTAGTTACCTGCGGGAGGCAGCCCTTGATCAATTTGCCAACTTGCATTCATCTGGAAAAGCGATGTGGGATGAACCTGCTTCTCCCCTGTTCCAGGGCGGCGAGAGCAGGTCTGTGTGAGGGGCAGGGTCCCTGGGGGTGGTTTCATGGGTAGTCAGCGAGGGGCTGGAATTCCAGAATCGCCACACAGTGGCGTGGCTGTGAGCAGGAGGCCAAGCCCACACTGCGGCTTCCTCACCTGCTGAGCGGGCTGTCGCTACGTTCCGTGTGTTTGTGGGACTGACACCTACTTGGCTTCACACTATACGTGATCTGATCTGATTGCACTGCAGGGTGTAGTCCCGAATTGAATCATTCACTTGAACGTTACATTCCAAACTGATGTTATAAGCCAGCTGTGGCGAGGAGCTCTGTGTTACGTGGCTGTTTAACTTTGTGAATATGACAAGTGCTAGGCATGTATTAGGTGTTTATTAAATATTTAATATTTGGCCTTTTTTTTTTTTCTGAGAAGTTTTCACTGTAGGGCGCATGTGCTCTCTGGAGAGAGACAGAAAGTGAGAAATCACCCCGCCAGGGGACAGCAGGCCATGCCACAAACCCTTCTCTTCCAGTCTCCTCTCAGGATTTTGGGCACACGTACACATGCATCTGGAATGAGTTTTATGCTGCCAGGTCTGGGACTTGAACCACGGTTGACCACATGGGAGTCAAATGACGTAACCTTTTCGCCATCTGCTGGTCCCAATAGTTAGTTGGTTTTGATTAAGCAAAGTATTTTGTTACTCTGTGATGGTTAATTTTATATGTCAACTTGACTGGACCATCGAGTGCCCAGATATTTGGTCAATCATTATTTTGGGTGTTTTGTGAAGGTTGGTGTGTGTGTAGTTTTGTTTGTTTGTTTGTTTGTTTTTGGGTAAGATTAACATTTAAAGACTGAACAAAGATTGAACAAAGTGGATTGCTCTTCCCAAACTGGGTAAACTTGATTATCAGAGAAAGCTTCTTTTTCTTTTCTTTTCTTTTCTTTTTTTTTTTTTTTTGGGGAGGTTTTTGCTATGGGGCGTGTGTGTTCGCTGGAAAGACAGAGAGAGAGAGACAGAGAGACAGAAAGCGAGAAATCACCCCCTGGGGGGATGGCCACGCCACAATCCCTTCTCCTCCACTCTCCTCTCGGGATCTTGGGCACACACACACATGCGCCTGGCGTGAATTTAAGCCACCAGGTCTAGAACTCGAACACGGTTGACTACATGGGAGTCCAGCGATATAGCCATTACGCTAACTGCTTGTCCTGAGATGAGAGAAGGCTTCTTGTGAGAGGTAGGGCTTAAACTGATCTTGGGAAGAAATTCAGAAGTGACCTGGGAGATGAAGACATGCGGGGCTCCACGTGTGCATCTTTCCTCCTTCATAATTAGTAAAAACATACTTACTGAGCATGCGGTCTCTTAGAAATGATTGTAATCCCGTGTGACTCCCACGTGGGAATCTAGTGCCTTAACCGCCATGCCACCTGCTGGCCCCATTCTGTGGATGTTTTAACACAGAAAGGAAGAAGAAAGTAAGATGTTGTCTTAAATAGTAGGGACACCCTGGGCCCGACCAGTTTCCCCACGAGTAATAGGAGTTCAGGGCAGGTTACGTAGAGCCCTCGGTGTGTACGTTCCTTGAGCTTCCCTGGGTTTTCTCTTTATACTCCATGAACTGGCACAGGAGAGGTTATGTAGGCGGGTATCAGCCCACTTCTGGCCAAATATAGCTTTCACCACGTATCCTATTTTAAAATTTTGAACAATGACTTTGTATTCCTGAGGCAGATAGTAATATCTGCTGTAGGCGGCAAATCTGGAAAAAAACATCATGTTTCCTGGACTGAAGTGGGAAACATGCCCTTCTACCCCGAGGTATCCTGGAGACACGGCCGCCACCCTGCCAGAGCTCTGCCGGCAGAACGGAGTGCTTATTTTTGCAGGAAAGCAAACCCTGCAATGGCACAAGGCCGATCCTGGGCGTGGCTCGCCCCTGTCACTCTGTTCCCACCCTGGGGTTGCTGTGGTCAGGTTCAGAGCTGCTGGAACAGTGTCTCCTGTAGGTTCACCTGGACCCCTCCTCTGTCGTCGGGGAGACGCTCAGGGTGGGACTGCAGGCTTGCACAAAGTTTGGCTCTGAAAGTCTGTTCATCATCGTTCTCTGTCGGCCTGAATACAAGTCAGTGAGTGGGTGTCGTCACGTGAACCCCCACATTTCTTCACGTAGCCCCCCCCCAACATCTTCAGAAAACCGTAGGTTCACCACTATACGATCTGTGGGTAATGCCAGCTCTGGGGGATTCCATCACTCCACACACTTCCTTTTTTTTTTTTTTTTTCGGAGAGGTTTTCACTATAGGGCGCGTGCGCTCACCAGACAGACAGAGAGAGACAGAGAGACAGAAAGCAAGAAATCACCCCCCAGGGGGGATGGTTACGCTGCAATCCCTTCTCCTCCATTCTCCTCTCGGGATCTTGGGCACGCACACACACGCGCCCGGCGTGAGTTCTAAGCCACTGGGTCCGGGACGTGAACCGTGGTCGACTACGTGGGAGTCCAGCGACATAGTCATTACGCTAACTGCTGGTTCCCACTCCACACACTTCTTAATACACAGCTCCATCACGTCTGTGCTCACCGGCATTGCCAGGCAAACGCTGTGGACACATTTGACATAACTGATCGTGTATGACTCTCTGTCGCTGCATTTGTGTACTAGTCATTAAGCATTTAAAAAGGTATGCTGGGGACCAGCAGGTGGCATGGTGATTAAGGATGCTGGACTCTCATGTGGGTGACTGTGGTTCGAGTCTTGGGCCTGGCAGCTTAAAACTCATACCGGGTGCATGTGTTCTCTCTCTCTGTCTTTCTCGGGCCAAATTAAACAAATAATAATAAATAAAGTTAAATAAAATAACTTAAAAAATAAAGTAAAAACTTACGCCACGTCCCTGTGGTGGCACAAACTGCTAAGATGCTGCTGCTTCGCAGGCTAGGACCGCACAGGTGGCCTGGGTGCTATTCCGATCCAACCCAGAGGCCAGGCAGTAGTGTATGCCTGTAGCCCTAGCAACCAGGAGGCCGAGGCAGGAGGATAGGACCATGGTGGAACTCTGTCTTTGTTTTTAAAGAACTATTAAATTAAATTAATTAATTAATTTTAATTTGACGAGAGAGGGACAGAGTGAGAGAGATGGAAAGTGAGAAAGCAAGCCTCCAGGTACAAGACTTGAACTGTGGTCGGCCATGTGGGAGTCCAGCACCCATAACCACCATGCCACTGCCTGCCCCGGAACTTCGTCTTAAAAATAAATAAATAAGGCGAGTCGGTATGGTGGTTAAGGCGGCTGGATCCCACATAAATCACTGCGTGGTGTGAGCCCTGGACCTGGTGATTTGAAAACCATGCAAGGTGTATATGTGCACATGCCCCAAATCCAGAGAGAATGGAGAAGGGACTGTGGTGTGGCCATCTCCCATGGGAGGTGACCTCGCACTCTCCCTCTCTCTCCATTTCTCTCTGGTGAGTGCATGTGCCCCTTAGCAAAGTCAAAAATGAAGCAAAACGTTGTGGCCAGCAGGCTGCAAGGTGGTTAAGGCGCTGGACTCCCACATGGCTGTTTCAGTCCTGAACCTGGTGGCTTGAAAAGTCATGCAGACTGTGTGTGCACACGTGTCCAAACTCCCAGGAGGAGACTGGGAGAGAAGGAATTGCGGTGTGGATATTCCCCCAGGGGAGCGATTTCTCACTTTCTCACCATCTTTCTCTGTCTCTCTGGAGAGCCCATGTGTACTATGGGAAAAAACCTTCAAATAAAAAACCAAAATAAAATATCATACTGATTGATCAAAGTTATGGCTAGAAAGGACATTGTAGGGGAAGTTGATGGAATTTAAATGTGGACTACCAATTAGGGAGTAGTATTGCATCAATGTGAAATTTTCTGGTTTTGCCGTCACTACCACAGGTATGTACGTGACAAACTTCTGGTTCTTACAAACTATACACCAAAGGAGTTGGCAGGAGATCAGGGGGCATGTCTCCAATTGATTCTCTAGAAGTTTGGGGGAAAATGCATCTATGTGAGGGAGCCAGAATGACAAAGCAGAGAGTGACCTGTAATTAATTGGTCAGTCTGGGTCAAAGATTAAGAGGGGTTACTTGCAAGACACTCTTGTAATTTTTTTCAGGTTTGAAATTATATCAAAGTAAAGAGTTACCGAAAAGGTTGGGGAAACAGACATGTAACCCAGATGTCGACCCTAACGACCCTAACGGGGAGGAGGCAAGTGTGATCTCGCCCTTTTTCTCGGTCACTGTGTCTCAGGGTTCTTCATTGTTTTAATGCCCTAAAGGCAGAGAGTCCAATAGAACGAAGAGGGAGACCAGCCAGATCAGAGCTGCCCTCCACTCCTCCTCCCGCCACACGGTGTCGCTGTTGTCCCGCGGCGCTGGCCCGCCAGGCAGACACTGCCTGGGCTTGGGCTGGAAGCCTGCGCTGCCCAGAGCAGATGGCCGGCTGCCTTGGGAGCGAGGTACTTTGGTAGGGAGGGCAAGAACAGAGCAATAGAGCCGTAGGGAATGCGCCCAGGCAGAGGCCCTGCCCTGCGATGAGCATGTGCAGAGGGTGAGCAGACCTCTAGCCCAGTGGTCAACGGGGCTGGATCCCGCCTGGTCAGCCGCGCAGTTGAATCCTAGACCTGGTGGCTTGAAAAACATTCCAGATTCCCGTATGTGCATGTCCCAAATCCCGACAGGATAGGGAAATAGAGAAGGGACTGCTGCCTGCCATGCCCCACTGGGGATTGCGTTCTCCCGCTGTCTCTGTCTCTATGTCTCTCTCCTGCCAGTGCCTGCGTCCTCTGGCAGTTTACGAACAAATGAAGCAACCCGCACGGTCAGAGGGTGCAGAACGACTAGCACCTGTGCCAACCAGGAGCAGAGCGTTCCTACGGAGAGGAGGAGGGGCTCTGTGCCTTGTGGTCTGGGCTCCCCCATGGGTGTTCAGGAGGTTCACTGGTGGAGAACTGGTCTGAGTGAGAGCTGGCACCGGGAGGCAGGGAGGCCAGGTGGAGGCCTGGGCTGTGGAGCCTGCGGGGAGGCTGCGGGGGAAGGATCGTGGGGGAACTTTGAAGGCGTGTTAGTTACTGCGGGGTGCTCTGCTGCATGTATGTCAGGGGGAGAGCTGGGCTGGGAAACAATGGCAGAGGCGGGAGGTGCTGGTCTGAACAGGTGGGGTGACCGGTGCCTCCCATGGCCCCTAGGTGTCATTTCTGCGCTCAGGGAAGTCCCAGTGCTTGGACAGCAACTCTGCCCCCACAGCTGGTACCCAGCAACGACTGAGACCTGCAAGTGGGTGGGAAACACCCCAGGTGCAGGCTGCGGGCTGGCCGTGGGAAGTGCTGGCTTCTGGATGTGGTGGAGACGCTTCCTGCTGGGCAGCCCAGGGTCCCACCCAGCACATTCCAGAGTCGGGCCATGCTGGCAGCACATGGGCAAACACGGTGATGTCGCTGTGCCTCCAGGGGCTGGGGCCTCATTCCGTCAGCTCTGGGACACACTCTTTTAGAAGGTATGGCTTTGAGACCGCAGGAACA